GGAGGAGGGGAGAAGGGGGAGGGAGGAGGGGGAGGGGAGAGGGAGGAGGAAGAGGGGGAGAGGGAGGAGAGGGAGAAAGGAGAGGGGAAAGGGGAAGGGGGAGGGGGAGGAGGAAGGGGAGAACAGGGGAGAGGAGGAAGAGGAGAGGAGGGGGAGCAGGCGCCGCAGCATGGCCTGCCCACCTCCTCACCCCAGTGCTCTCGCTCTCTCCGTGTCTCCCTGGTGAACACGCGTGCTCTCTGACAAAATTTAAAGAAGTATTTTCTCTCCTGATTCACTTCTCGTGTCCTTTAGGAGTAGCCACATGGGATTGGTCACGTAGGAATGTAAACAAAACCCAGGCGGTGGCAGCCCGTGTGACACCTGGAGCCTGCCTGACCCCAACAGCTGCACGAGTGGCCCCAGCTGTTTCCTGACGCGTCGACCACGAACTCCCTGCACGCCTTCTTTCTTCTAACTTTTTCTACTTTAGTTTTAAAAAAGGTCATCGTAGGCGGTCATTTTTAAGATCACAGTCCAACGTCACTTACCATAAGGAACAGATTTAATTTAGAAACATTCACAGAGCTCCGCATTTCCGGAGACCGTCGGAGCCCGGCTCCGCCAACAGCACCCTGAGCTCCGGCGCGGGCTCCTGACTCAGCTCCGCACAGACAGCACTGCCCCGGTCACTGAGCTTTACCTTTCGGGGCCCGTTGGTTTTGAGCTCCATGATGTTAATCGTGTAGTTTATTCTTTTCCCATTCTGGTCAAACTTAATATTTCCCGAGAGACCTTCGACCTGAACCTAATGGGGAAGAAGGGGAGTTACAGACGTGCTTTCACCAAAGATGCAAACCCCATGGGCATTCTGGCCGGGCGAGCCACGGAACTTCGTCCGCAAGGATCTCCGCCCCCGGCCCCCCGTGGCTAGGAGAGCAGGGTGTGTCCAGCACAGGGTCAGCCGGCCAGCCCCGGCCCCCCGTGCCGGGGAGAGCAGCCTGTGTCCAGCACAGGGTCAGCCGGCCAGCTCGGCCCCACCGCCCACTCGGGCCACTGACCTGCTTGAGGGCCCTCTCGATCTCCACGCCCTGGCCCCAGGGCACGGCCGGGTTGGCCAGACAGTCGCCGGCGTTGCCCCTGCGGGAGATCTCGATCCTCTGCTTCCTCAGGTTGCGGAAGGCTTCTGTCATCACCTGCACAGCGTCGTAGGTCAGGGCCGACGTGTACTGAAAGGGACCAGGCGCATCGTAAGGAGGCAGACATGGCCACCCCGCACCCAGGCCGAGCCCTCCGCAGGGCACCGCAGGGGCAGTGGCCGACGCCGCCTTGTGCCTGGACCCCAACCCGGCCACCCTGCCCCGCTGCCGTGAGTACTTGTGACTCCGTGGGGACCTACGAGACCTGATGGGAAGGCTGCACTGTGACAGGGACGCTTGCAAAGAGAACTGAGGCTGCGCCCACCACCTGGCACGGGGGCGACTCTGCACGCTCCTTCCTTCCTCTCACCTGTTCTATTTATTTCTCCCATGAGCTAGAGACAGAGATGCTGCCAGTGTCGATGCCGTGGTCCACCCTACCGGCCAGTCCTGGATCAAGGGCAGGACTCCCTGGACGTCTCCAGATGCGAACCCGGGCCCTGCCCACACAGGTCAACCGTGCAGACATCACGTGCTACCGCGGGGCCAGTCTGCCCAACTGACCACTTCCTGCCATGCTAGCGCCACAGTGTTTCGGTGGGACCGTTTGTGATAATTGTGTCAAGACTTTCTTCCCAACCAGTTCTCCACAGAGCATCCAGCAGTCTGGCCTGCTCTGGTGGAATGCAGCATTTTCAAATGAGCACAGACGTGCTTCTTCACTCTTCTGACGGAGGTCCTTGGCTGTGTGGAGAGGAAGTGGAGGGGTTCAGATCCCTGCTCTCTGCTCACCCTGGCGATGCTTGCACAGATCTGAGGGGTCTCAGCAGTGTTGCTGAAGTGCCCCGGGCTCAGGGGTCCCCAGTCCCAGGGCAGTTGCCCCACACAGGGAGGGGGCGAGCGAGTGCGGCTTCGTCTGTGTTGCAGTCGCTCCCTGTCGCTCCGTCCTGCCTCCTGTCCGATCAGCAGAGCCTCCGGGTTCTCCTGGGAGTTCAAGCCCTGCTGCTGGGAGGTTGATTCCTCGTAGGCTGCGGCATGGTGGTGTTGAAAAGGGGTGCCTGGAGGACAGGGTGTGCTCGGGTCATCCTGGGACCAAGTCCCCTCCCGTGCGTGGAAAGATCGTCTTTCAGGAGGCCGGTCCTTGGTGCCAAGAGGGTTGAGACCCCTGCTCCAGGTGCTTCTGGCATTCAGAAAAGCCTCCAGCTGCAAGGTCCCTACCCCTCCTCTGCGTCAGCAGCCTGTGGTGACACTGGGCCCAAGCTGGCAGGGTCAGACCCAGCGGCAGCAGCGTCCTAGGATGCGGGCCAAGCAGCACGACCCTCTATGTGGGCCCAGCATTGGCGGTGGCTGAAGAGCTGTGATCTGGACATGCGTGTGCCTGCCGTCCGACGTGTGTGTGACGCTGCCACTGCTATTAGGGTGACGGTTTGAAATCATAGGTTTCCAGAATGCTCGGGACAGCCCTGTCCTGGAGGTTTCTCACTCTGCAGTGAAGAAGCTGGGGTGCAATACCGCCTCGCGCTCTTATGTGGGACATTCTTACCACTCCAGACGGTCCCTCAGATTCCCAAACACCTCGCCCTGCCCCGGGGAGCAGCCTGCCACTCGGACAGATGAGCCCTCCTTTCTCATCGGTCTTCTGCGAGTGCCTGCCAGTGCACACTGTGCCCTCTGAACTTCTCCAAAAGCCTCGCCTCGAGCACTAGGGACAATGGATGACACAGGCCACCAGAACCCTCCTCTTTCAGCCGCGAGCTGGCCGACGAGCTGCCCCACGTCCCTTCCAAGATGACAGTGCAGGAGGCCGTGAGCCGGCAGATGAGCACACTCCAGCAGTCCCCACTTGACCTTGCTGACCTCAAGATTCTGCTTCTGCAGCCATGCCTGGCCCGCGTCCGCCCGTCGGCCCTGCTCCGCCATCCCATCACCATCTGTCCCTCTCCAACCACAGCAAAATGGAGACAAAGGTGACAGAAAGACAGAGACTCTGTCCCCACAGCCCTCCCCACTTCTCAGCTTCCTTCACAGGAAAAGTCCCTGAAAGCAACGTTCTCGATTTGCCCTCGGGGATCAGCCCTGCTCTCCCAGGATGGGCTCATTCAGCCCGTCCATGCGCTCAGAGGTCCTGCCCAGAGCCCCGCCCTGCCCAGTCCTCCTTGGCGTGGCCGTGCTCACCCTCTGTCCCTCTACCCATATCTGGCATCCCCTCTGCACCTGCCACCTCCCTTCCCAGCAGGAACACCTGCGCCAGGAGTGGAAGCCATGTCTGCTGCCACTGGGTTCTTAGCCCAGGACACGAGAAGGGTGGCTGAGGAGCCCAAGGAGGGCCTGGCCTTAGGGACTTGCAGTCTCTCCAAGGCAGCAAAGAGATCTCTGCATTACACCCGGGGTGGCCTGGGCCCCGCTGTGGTGTGGCCGGCCCTGCAGTGGGCAGACGCCTGTCTTGTTTCCTTCCTTGAATATGAAAGATTCTGCAATAAGTCAAATAAGAAAATCGTTTCTGTCAGTGTGATTTATCCCCGCCGTGAAGCCTGGGATGCTTTAAGCCTCCTTTTATGCTGAAAACGGTGGGGTGAGGTTATCATTCATTTAATCTTTGCATGGGTTCGTTCAGTGGGATTGCTTTCATTTCCTCACATAAGTGGGAAGATCTGAAGTGGAAGTCGAGAGGAAAGGAAAGTCGTGTGTGAACCGTGCGCCCTGGGCCCGAGTGCGGCCGGGGCTCTGCCCTCTCTCCGAGTCATCTCTGAGTGCGGCCGGGGCTCTGCCCTCTCTCCGAGTCATCTCTGAGTGCGGCCGGGGCTCTGCCCTCTCTCCGAGTCGTCTCTGAGTGCAGCCGGGGCTCTGCCCTCTCTCCGAGTCGTCTCTGAGACTTCTCAAGTGCGGCCAGCCGAGACTTTTCTCACGTGCGCCAGTGTCACTGCTGGCTGGCCTGACAGCCCTTCTCTGTCTGGCCAGACATCTGAGCACCCTACAGATGCCTCGGACTGGACGGATTTAAGCAAAACCCCTCACCGAGCTTTGCAAACTCCGTGCCCTTTATCCTTAAACTGCACATGCTCCACATCTGACCACGGGTAGAAGGCTAGCACCCACTCAGGCAGCTGACCCTCCTGGGTCTGAACAGCGGCGTCTTGGACATCCTCCCAAGGAAACTTCTCAGATACAGAGAAGTTTCATACAAAGGCATCGATTTCAAAACTTAGAGACAAGCTAAATTACAACATGCAAAAATTAGAGACAAGCTAAATTTCTGACAATAAGGGAATGTTTTTTAAATCTATGCTTTCTGCCTTGGGGAATACTGCCGAGTGAGTGAGACTGTGGGACTCAGGCGCTGTGGGAGACCACTCAGCCCAGACAGTAGTGAGCCCTGACACTGGTACAAAGCAGATGAGCGTGGAGGAATTAATGCTAAGCGAAGCAAACCACACTGAAAGACAGACATTGCTATCCCCCCTCAGTGCATACCGAATGTCTGCGCTTTATCACAGACATTGATGGCTGGAGGGTACAGTAAACAGGGCCTGATATAGACACAGTCTCTGCAGGAGGGGGTAAATGCGTGGGGGAGAGAGGGATTCAGGAAAAATAACTTTTTTTTGTTTGTTTTTAAGTCTTTGGTCATCAGCGTATGTGCTTATGAGAGAGAGACAGAGACAGTGAGAGGGAAAACAAGAAATTCCCCCCAGGAGGATGGTCATACCACAATCCCTTCTCCTCGTCCTCCTTCTGGGATTTTGGGCAAACACACACACATCCATCATGATTTTCAAGCCACCAGGTCTGAATCGTGAACCGTGGTGGGCCCTGTGGGAATCCAGCACCTTAACCACCACACCACCTGCTGCCCCAGGAAGAGACACTGCCCACTGAGGACGATGGGCATGGCCACGTCTCTGACTTGAGTAACATGTGGTGCGTGTGTACTTTGGAAAGTTGTGTTGTACGCCGTGAAGGTATACGCTGAGTAAAAGTAATTTAATTACATAGAATTTAAAAAGCCGCACTGGTAAAGGGTCTGTAGCCACACAAATAATGTTTACAAAAAAGTAAGTGAAAAATATTAGTGCCACTGAATTCTAACAGTCTTTTCAATAAAAAAGAGACAGTAATGAAAATAGATAGATCCTTTCCCCAAATCAGGGAAAATTGGTTATAACGGCAGGGAGTAAACATAGATGACTGCATTTCTTTTATAAATATTCTGTAAGATCAGGATGCCACTCTTCTTTAAAAACTGTATTAGAGCAAAGATACTATTTTAAATCACAACCACTTAAATAAGACTTATTGCAGCAAAGAAGTACCGCATCAGGGTGGGGTGTGTGTGCGTGTCTGTTCCCCTCGGAGGAAAACCCTTTTAATTTGCTTTCTTACATGGTAGCCAGTCATTGCCAATGCCACTCCTGCGATAATGCCAACGTCTCTACACAGGAAGCGGAGCCTAAGTGGGATAAACTGGTAAACTGGGTATTAAAAACATTGCGGTCTCTATTAAAAACTGTGGTGAGAGCTAATAGCGAAATCTCCAGGAGAGATCTGCAGAGCCGGCCCTCGGTGTCAGAGGCGTCCCGGCAGGCTGTGTGAACTAGGCTGAGTGCACTAAAAGGTTGAGAGCCACGTGCAGCTTGGTTAGGACTGGGACTCGGGGCCCGCACACACAAAGAAGAAAATCCCTTCAGCTTTCTCCAAACGCTCAAGTCTAATCACGTCTTAAGCCTGCTATCATTTTAAATGAAAAGTCAGTCACAGAACCGTCATTTCGGACTGGGGAGCCCAGCCTCCGCGTCTGAATCTCTGCTGACGTCCTGCACATGTGGATCACTGGTTTTTCTAACAAATACATTCACACTTCTGATCGGATAGTTGCATATCTCAGTGTTGTTCTAACGGATCGGATAGTTGCATATCTCTTCTCTTCATACAATCCCTTCTCCTCTATGCCCCTCTTGAGATCTTGGGCATGAACGCACATGTGCCCAGAGTGAGTTTTAAGCCACCAAGTTAAGGACTCAAACTACAGTCAACTATGTGGAAGTCCAACTATGTAACCATTTTACCACCTGCTGGTTCCAGCTAAGACTTTT